TGGGGGTTTACAGTTTGCCTGCGATAGCGGCGACGAGATGTTGGTCATATCACGGGTAATCTTTGAGAGGGCGGTTGCATCGTTGTGTTGGGGTTTACAGCTAGGCTGCGATATCGGACCCACTCTCTGCAGTCTTAGGTAGTATATTTGTACGTATTCTGCCCTTCACGTTGTTGACCGGTGTTTAATTACCCACTGGGTGCTAATTTTTCTTTTTCCCTCAAGAGGGCTGTTGACATGTTGTGTTGGGATTTACAGCTAGGCTGCGATATCTGCACCTTTCGCCCAAAGACATCCGATTTCAGTAAAGTCCCATTTATCCTCCCCGCGACGCTTCACTTGATAATAAACTATTCGTAGATGACAGAAGCTGTTAACTAAGACTGCTTACAGTCCAGTTTACTTTGGATGGACATGGATGCCAAGGTCATTTAACATTCGTACCTTCAGAGAGGGGAGATAACGGGTGGAAGTTTTTATTTCTGCTATTTGTGAGTATAGAACGGACTATTACTGTGGGGTTTTTTTTTTTTTTTTTGAGCTCAATTACACTAAACAGTCTGTGGCGACATCATGCAGCGCTAACCCCTCTGGCTACACCGACCTGCACAGACAGTAGTGACTGTTTTTTGTTTTTGTTCTGAAGGTGGTGGTGGTGGTATTGGTAGCAGTAGCACTGGTACTGGATGGGTGATGTGGTAGCTGTTACACTGGCCAAATTTACTTCTCATTACACATTAATGCTATCCATCTGTCTCTGGGTGGACACGGATGCAAAGCTCAATTCAGTTGCAATATTTCGTCTGATGATGACTTTCCCATCCTTCGGCGAGGATGATGTAATTAGTGGGGGGAAAAGGGGGGGGGGGGGTTGATGGCAGACACTGTTAACTGAGAGAGCTTAAAACATCATTTAAAAGTTTTCATTTCTTAACTATTTCTATTTAAAAATTTCGCCAAGTGATGATTTTTTATTCCTTCGGAGAGGGAGATATGACTGGGTGGAGGGGAGAGGGACTGTGGTTGAGGGTTATGACAGACACTGTTAGCTGAGAGATACTTTCTTTCTTTTCCATTTCACCATTCGGGGCCACAGCAACGCGTGGCAGGGCACAGCTAGTTTATACATAAAAAGTAGAAAACTGACTGCCCACATCCGAAGGAAACAATCTAGATTCTGTGGCCATGTAATGAGAAAGAGAACACTACAGTATATCCTGACAGTTGAAAAGTTAGAGGGAAAGAAAGGCAGAGGAAAATCGAGAAAAAGATGCTGGACAGTTTGTCGTCATGGCATGGAGAATCATTTGTGTCAGGGTTGATTGAAAGTACACAGGACAGAAGGTTGTGGATAGACAATACTACCAACGCAACACCGCAAGGACTATAAGAAAAATGTACCTAGATTTATGATTAAGTCAATGGTAAGGTAGTAAGTCTTACATGAACCTTATTTCGTCTTGTCTTAATTGTATGTTTCCTGCAACATGGGACACAGCAGTTGGTTCTTGGTCTTCAGCCCTGCATCTCAGAAAAGAACATTCACTTTTAACCAACTAACGCCAAGACGCTCAACTTTTTTTTTAAATTGAAATCTTGATATTCATATTAGATATATTATTATATATACGAGTACACTTTCTTCTTCTTCTTCTTCTTCTTCTTCTTCTTCTTCTTCTTCTTCTTCTTCTTCTTCTTCTTACATTTCCTTTTATGCCGCAATAAGCCGGGATCCACTGAAGAACGATTTGACTCATAAACAAAATGCTTTCATTGTAAAATACAATTGTCGTCTCAAAGATGAGTGTTCGTAAGGGCCGAATGTAAAACGGGCCTTTGTGTCCAATTTGTGATCCTTTGAAAAATAAATTTCGTTAGTTTCTTTCTTTTCTGGTATTGTCTTAACCTTATCTGTGTCTGTTACCCTTCAGCTGTGATAGATATGTCCTCTTTTTAGCCTAACATCAAACCTGTTTTATCTATGTTTATTAACTGTTTGTCTGTTCTATAAATTCTATTTCTTCGTCTTCTTTAACAAAACGACCACTTAAGATTCACTGCTGAGATATCACAACCCCGAATAATCTCTTTTACTGGACTTCTCCTTCCACCTAAAGACTCCAGTTGTGTATAGATCTGCCGTGTTGTGCTCCCATTAAGTCGGAAGTGGGGGGGGGGGGGGTCAGACTGTCATTCTCTCTGTGTATTTTAAACTACATATAATTGTATCTAACTTCGCAAATTCCAGTATTGAAATTTTCATAAAATTCAATTTCTCCTACCACTTGCGCTGTCTTTATCATTTCACACACAGCTTACAGATATAAGTTCTAGAGATGACCTAAGAAAAAAAAGAGATGTTGGTTGTAAATCCATCCATCTTTCATTGGTCTTCACTTTGTTTTTGTTTTCTATACCTCTTGTATCTTGGTTGCCTAAATTATTGTTGTGTCATTTTTACTCTGTTTCTCGTTTGCATGCATCTTGCATATAATTCCCTACATAATTAACCCCTGGCCAAACTTCTCCTATACGCTTCCTGCGACACGAATGGTAGGATATACTGTTTGCTTTTACTGTTATAAATTTTTACTATTCTAATGTATCCCACCCAGATCAGGTTTTTAAAATTGATTCTTTTCTACTGATACATTGTTTACTTCCCTTACAATCACGGGAGCCGCCGGCAAAGTATCATTCAAATGTTTGTTGGGTGGATTTGTTTATTATTACCTATAGCTCTTATGTTTGTCTAGCATGAAATAAATATAAGAAAATGTTATGGGAAGTAAAGACGGCAGGCGATTTTCACATCATAAGCGCAGTGGACAAATGGTGGTTAAAAAAAAGATTTTAAAGAACAGGTGGTGGGGGGGGGGGGGCTGAATGGTCGCGAGAAATGGTGTCCGTCCTGAGTGCTATAGGTTTCGGATTCAATCTTCGGTAAGGGCTGGGATTGTTTCACGTGGACTTGGACTTCTAGTAATCTCCCCTGGTCTCTGGTTAGTGAGATCGGACGCCCGTGTGTATGGTTGCGAACATAAAAAGAATCCCTTGGCCGATGAAAATCGAAAAAAGTAGCCTAACGGGCGCTGCCCTGACAAAATTTGGAGTTAAAAATCTACCCAAAGTATTTCAGGATCCTCGCCGGTGCAACTTCAAAACCTCATTACTCTACTTTATTAAAGACCAACTGGCAATCTATGAGTGACGCAGTCAACATAACTTCGGCTCCCTTTATTACCCGCTTTTATCACCCTTTTTTTTTTTTTTTTTTTTCTGTTTTATCTTATGAAGAGCCATCGTGGTGTAGTGGCTAAATGCCACCCTGCAGATCTGAAGTTTGTTTGTTCCCAACCGAATGCAGTCAGGGGTTTTGTGTGTGTGTGTGTGTGACCTTTGCTTCCAGGTCGACCCAGCGTAAAATTGTTACCCGGTAGAATGCTGGGAAGTAAAGGCGACTGGCGCAATTTTGACCCTATTACCTACGAATGACGATTGGTGCGTAAAATATCGAGCCAATAAACGTAAAGTCGTGTAAAAGAGTCCACTTACTTTACTTTCGACCTGCGAGCCTAAATCAATTTTTAAAACGCGTTGCCTATTCAAACCCGTGACTAACTGATCAATAATCACAAATGAATGCCACTGCGCCACCGCGGCTGCCTATTAACTTATACTCAGTATAGTATTGTATGAACTCCAGCATGGGAATAGAAGCGGAGGTTGTAACAGCAACATATCAAATGTGTGGGGTCTTTGATTTACGACTAGTGCTGTCGCCACGACTGTGCAGGTGAGGTTTTAATTTTGCCCCCAACAGAAAAAAAAATCACCAGTCTTACTAAGGATTCATTTGTAGACTGAAAGGATTATGGTTTTGTTGCCCAGCTAATGAGCTGAATGCATGTCGCGACAATATGAGTTGAGGATTTAATTTGGAATGTTTTTCGACTGTGACCAACGGCATGTTGCAAACTGTAGATTCTAAAAATGGCGCGTGGCCTGTTGTCACAGAAATTGGTGGAGCCTTATGTAATTACAATTGATTGTGTGTGTAACTGCTGATCTGTAACTGCTACTTCCGTCAATGATGAACTGAATTTCTAGTGTCAGACTGTTCGTGTTAGCACTTTTGAAGGCTGTCGTATGGTTTTAATGCGTGTATTTGCTGAAATATGCTAGTGCATATGCTAAGACAGCACTCTGAGTCAACTTTTCCCACAAGGGGCAGAATGAACAATCTGTGTGTTTTTGTTGTCACAGGAGCAGGGCAATTATGGGGGTGTCCAGTTTTGCTATGAAGCTGAAACCAATATTACCAAGACATCACTTGATAAGGCTCACAGCAACAGAATCTCGTGGATTTTGTGACGATGTTCGAGTCTGCGGGGTAATTAACTGTATGATAGATGGCATGATGCCGCACCTCTGGGCGACGATTTAGTTTATGATAATGCGGACTTGGTGAAAGCTTCCGAGATCAGGTGGTCAGTGCCTCAGAACAGAGTATCCACATCTTGAAAGACTGATTCAGTAAACAGTTAGCAAATGTCTGGACATGGTTAAAAGGTTAGATGCGTATCCTTTACAAGACGTTACAGAACCAACCCCATCAGCCTCTGTCTGTTGTGTGGTTTCACTAGGCAAATTCACGTCCAGTAGTTTGCCATTGCTCCCTGGACGATCGGCTCCCTGATATCACTGTCGAAACCAATTCAAGGCGTATGGCCCGCAGCTGGAATCGAACCCGGTACCCCGGCATTACAAAGCGTTCGCATCGACTTAGCCACAAAGCCGACGTCTGGATATTGCACAGGATTTAAAAAAACAGGCGGACTTTTCATCTGGTTACTACTGGCAACTTCAGCGTTGGAACTTTTCGTTGCGACATGAGACAGAACAGGCATGAGAATTTTTCTAGTTCACTGATGTAAATTCTAGGTGAATTCATTCATTCATAATTTACTCATAAATTTTGATCAATGTTTCTTCCACAGCAACCAGAACTGAATCTCTACCTACGAGTCTGTAACAGCGGCTTGGAAGGCAAGATGGAGGAGATCTACCTAATGTTTATTGTGATAGTTTTCTACCTGGTACCAATGGTCATCATTGCAATATTCTACCTGATAATTTCCCATCACCTGTGGCATGTCCGAGTACCTGGAACCATGATACGAGGTAAATCGATTGTGTTTTTCTGTGAGTAGAAGCGTGCTAGTTTCTGTTTCGTAAAAATTCGTCATTTTTTTTAGTGAGACCTGCAATTACACGCTTTAAAGGGATTCAACGATACCTATAATTAACTCCACGTAAAAACAATGACTGAAATGGTTTGGTCATTCAATTAGAATGAATGTTATAATGCCATCAACTAGATCGTGTAGCATGAAAGTAGCTACAAATACCAAGCGCTAAGGTAAGAAGGAGATGGATTAAGGGAGTCCGATACCTTGAGACTCCATAACATCACAGCATACCTGGCAACCGTGCGTGCCCTAGCTCGGATACCGATCACATGTTAACATGCGAGCCTAGCGGTGGCACAAAGAAAAATATGGACAAAAAGAAAAGAAAGTAATTTCGGGGAAAAGGGGGGGGGGAGAGAGTAAGGAGTTATAACTGCAGAGAACCTTCATCAAAAAATGATAACAATTTCCTAGCATTCGAAGAAAAAAATCACCCGCAGCAGGTATTTTAGAAGGATCTTGAGCGAATAACATTACATTGTTTGGAATATTGAAGTCTTCATATCTGTTGCTGTGGATTATTCAAAAGCATTTGACTGTGTACAACATCAGAAGCTTTGGGAAATCATGAGGAATATGGGCTTTCCATCACATATAGTGCAGCTCATTAAAATGCTCTATCAAGACCAACAAGCAGCAGTCAGAATAGATGGAGAGACATCAGACTGGTTTGGCATCAAGCAAGGAGTCCGTCAGGGATGTGTGCTGTCACCGTATTTGTTCAACCTGTACGCCGAAAATATAATGAGAAATGTAAGAGATGATATAAACAAGGAACAATATGATGCCCTAAACATCGGTGGTCATGAAATACCAGAAATTCGTTATGATGATGATACAGTATTACTATCAACATCACAAAATGGTTTAGAAAACTTATTAACCTCACTCCAAAGAAATAGTGAAAATCATAACTTATTTCTTAACATAGCAAAAATAAAGATAATGCATACAAACAAAACTGCCATGGAGAAGGAAATATATGTTAATGAGGAAAGATTGGAAGTGGTGGAAAATTTCGAATATCTTGGGTCACTGGTTACCAACAATGGTGACACAATGAAAGAAATTAAACGGCGACTATCAATTGCTCTTCAAAGACTAAAACAACTGAATAAATTATGGAATTGTACAGATAGAATTACAAAGGTCAGATTTTTAAGAGCATGCATCTTTCCCATTGCAACATACGCCTGTGAGACCTGGACACTTACTAAACAAGCGGAACAGCGCATAAATGCATTTGAATATAAATGTTTACAGACAGGTTCTAAGAATATCTTGGGTAAAGAAAAGAACAAATGCATCCATACTTCAAGAGCTGAATATTGAAGAGGGTTGGCTAGTAAAGACAATAAAACAAAGAAAATTGAAATATTTAGGTCACTTGAAACGTCATGGAAGTCTAGAGAGAACAATAATGGAGGGGTATATGCCTGGGAAGAGAGGAAGAGGAAGGCCAAGGAGAAGATGGGTGCAGGATGTGGCAGATGATCTCCAGATGGGTGTATCTGACGCAGGACATCTTGCTCAGGATAGGAAGGTTTTCCGGAGGGTTGTTATGGCAGCGAGGTTCCGCGAGGGACATGCTACTGAATGAATGAATGAATGAATGAATGAATATCTGTTGCTGAAATTGTTTTGAAGCTTTTTTTTTTTTTTTTTAAATAATTATATAATTTAACTGGTTATGGTTGCTTGGTACATTGTTGAAGAAATGAAATCTTTCAGGATTAGAAAATGAAGAAGTTTGGCTGTTTGGAGATTTTTTTTTTTTTTTTTACAACAAAGGCAGCTTGTCACGAAAGGCATTCAATTTTTCAGCCAGATCTATGAACATGCAAAGAAGCCGCTGTAGCTTTTTCTCGTTGAGTACAAGCTTGCACAAGAATTCTGCTGCTATTGCTGATTAGCAGCAATCAACGACTCAACTTTTGATTTTCTAGCAGTGAAACGTTCTAGATATTATTTTCCAAAATGTGCAGGAGTTGTAAAATGCCGCTTTACTTTGTATTTCTTTACGGCCGACACACATTTATTGCATAGCAAGCAAGCACATTGGTTTCGAAATAGGCATAGTTGGTTATAAAAATAAATATCTGAATGTCCAGTCATTGTTAAATACACGATTTTCGTATTCCCACTTTGCTCTCTTACTAGTACTGTACTAGCCATGGCATCAAGTATTTAACTAAATTATTAAAACTAGATAATTTAAAACACTGTTACTGTTTCAGTTTATTAGTACGCAATCGCTTCCGACAGTCTGTATGGCTCTGATTTGTATGTGACTAGATGTTCGCAAAAAAATCTTTTTTAAATCTGATAGCAAGATCACTAGCAGGTATTCTGCTGTTTTCAGTATCACTATATTGTTCTACAGCACACAATGTCATTAGTTTATGTGGTACTAGTGGTTACCATTTGGGAGAGTTTCTATGTAGTCTAAGCTCTGTCAGGACCGTGCTGGTATTCTTCTTAGTCGTCCTGTCCAAAAAATATCTCACCTTCATTGACTGCCCAGTGGAGCGATTGCTTTCCTACCCGTTACTTGATTCTTTCCTGCTTATCATTTACTTTTGACTACCAACAGAATTAATTACATTTTCTGTTCGGTTACCTTGTATCCCCGCATTTAGAGATTCCTGACAAACATTTCCTACTGACACATTCAACACACCTGATTTTTTTGAAGATCTATACAGAAACATTTTGAGCTGAAATGCTATAGAAAAATGCTCAGAATATCTAGGACAAAGAAGAGGAGAAATACTGACATCTTGAAAGATCTTAACATCAAAGAAGATTGGCTAATATACAGCATCGTGTCCCTGAAGCTTTAATATTTAGGTCATATCAAGCGCCACAACGGATTGGGAAAAAAATATAGCAGAAGGCATTTTACCAGGAAGGAGGAGCAAGGGCCGACCAACACGAAGATAGGCACAGGATATAAGTGACTCTTTAAGTATGAAAGCACATGAGGCGGAAAAGCTGGCGAGAGACCGAGTTCTTTTCAGGCAGACCGTGATGAGAGTGACGTTCTGCAAAGGACCTGCTACATGATGATGATACAGAAACATTGACTGATTTTTTTTAAAAACTATATTTCACTATTTTGACGACGATTTGCGGCCCACTTGCTAGGCCTCTGTAGACCATATTTGGTCCGCAGTTCGCCAACTGAAAAGCCCTGCCCTATACCGTCTATCATGACTGCAGTATGAAGAAAGATTCATCATTAAACCACACACGTCTACATTGCTTGTCAGTTTCCCAGAGACGATGCTGGCTGGCATAAAGAAGCCGGTGGCGGCGCGTAAGGACATGTCCTTGGTGAGGTCGACGTGCCCAAAGGCAGGCGTCATGTAGTATATTCCAAACAGTTTCATTAGACACATGACGTCCTTGAAGTTATTACTAGCAGTTGAGGAAGCTGTTGTAAATCTGCTTCTGAGGTGACGAAGCCAAATTCATTCATCATCCACTGCTGTTGCCACTCTGGATAGTCCGCTGCAAGGCCGGTCTTCAGCTGAGCCAGTGTCTTAGAATCGGTGCTAAAGTCGGCCAATGATACTATGATACAAGTTTAAATACTTGGCAACCTGACTTTGACTTGCAGTAGACGTATAGCCATGTTCCTTAAAATTAACGCTAGAGACGCCGTACACGTCTGCTTGAAAATGAACTGAATGTTTTCGTGTAGCGTTATCCTGTTAAAAGGTTTCAGTAGCATAGGCAGTGAATAGGTCTCACCCTAAATTGTGCGCTGCTGTCTGAAGCGCTCATCATGAGCTATGCTCACAAATATGCTCTAAAACACAATTGATCACTGCGTTGTAACGATTACAAAAACCCACGCAATTCACGCCCACAATGTCAACTGGACAGGTAAACAACATTTGAGTCTGTTTTTCACATTCACAAGTACGATATTTTATTTACAAACTAAATAAAAACGCACCTTCGGATAACTATTTTTTTTACAGTAAATATGTAAATAACTACGTTCTCCCACACAATCATTAAATATATTTACCATTTTGTAGGTTTGTGTGCGCGCACGCATTTGTATTCACTCTCATTTGTTTACGTATGTATAAGATTTACACCCTCGCAGATTCATAAAACACATTTACCACTTTTCATGCCCGGCTCTCTAGCGTAGTTGGCTAAACCGGATTGCGCGGAGACCGGGTGACGAACTCCTTGTGGTCCGGGTTCAATCCCGGGGGTAGGCAAGAAAGCCACATTTTCTCCCAGATTTACGGTATTTACAATGGAATCAAGGCCGAAAGGTTGCGATACCCATAATACCGAACCTAAGGGTTAACAACTCATGGCTTCTGGATACTAAAACAAAACACCACTTCTTATAACTCGACCTCACAGATGACTCCAGAAGAAAGAGAAACACCAGACCCTATCAGCTATCCCCCCCCCCCCCCTCCTTCCCCCTGTCTGCAGTTTCTCTGCCAACAGTCGCAGTTAAAATAAACATTACCACACTGCTGAATAAAGAGCAACGTCCCTATTCAACGGTTGATCTAGTGTGTGGGTTTACCCAGATCGTACTGTCTTACCGCATCAAACGCCAGACAGACCAATCTAGTTTTAACAACCAAGACACTGAACAGTCGATATTGATGAAGACGGGCACGTCTGAGTATGTGGTATTACCCGGACTAAGCCTTTTGGTCTACCTCCTAGAAAATACCACTTTCTTTTAGAGTGTTACTGAAGTTAAAAAAGACAACAATCTCTTCTGGCACTCGTCGAAATGAAGGTTTATATCCGGTTCAGGGTTCACTAATACCTTAAAAAATAGCTGGGCAGAGTTCACAATGGCATAGATGCAATAGTTGCCAGAACAAACCGTGAATCCATAACAAGGATTAGATGAATGAATTAATAAATGAATCAGCAATTGACATCACTGCTCTCAGACATTCCCATACGTG